ATGCAATGATTTGGAAATCTCAAAACCAAGTTTTATTCAAAATAGAAAATAAACATACCAAAATGTTTAAACTGAGAAAATGTATTATTTTAGGACAAAAATAAGGTGATTTTTAAAATTGAGCATAAGCTGCTCTAAAACCTAGATATATCTTTCTACATTGATGGTGCCTTTCCAGATGTGCAAGCTGCCCATTCCATATGCACTATACACCCCCATCTATCAGAGATGCAGGCTTTTGAACTAAGCACTGATAACAAGCCAGAAGGTTCCTCTCCTATTTAGTCCTGAGGACGGGGTGCCATTGGTTGCCAAAAATGTCAAATTTAGATTTGTCTGACCACACAGCTTTCCACTATGCAACGGACCATTTTATATAAGCCTTGGCCCAGAGAAGACCATGGCTGTAATCCTATATATGCCCAGTAAAGTGACTGGCCTCAGGTGATATACAGAGATTAAACAAATCCTCCTACACAAAGTTGTACCTCTGCAGTATTCTCTTCTCTACATCCATTCAAAGCGCTAAATTTATAAAGCTTGTCTGCATGTTCAGAAAAAAAGGGGGGCAGAGAACTGAAATTACACTCTGCAGAGCTCGGTGAAGGGGGGGGGTCTGAAAGCTGACTGCAGGAAAAAGACACACCCCCTTCACTCAGCACACAGAAATAGAGCTGAGGCTGTCACTCTGCTGGAGCTCCCTCCTGTCACCATTTTTCTCATGGTGTCAGTAAAACCTGTCAGAAGTGATTCATGCTGATAGAAGAACAAAGCAGCAGAGACAAGTGACAATTAGTGCTCTTAATTGAGATAAGTAAACACTACAGATGGATATGTTTTGTTCATATTTCATATCTGAGATTTACAACCACTTTAACTTGCATTTTTGGATGGCACGGTCAACTCTGTTCACAGACAGGATTTTTTGGAAGTATTCCTGAGCCCATGCAGTGATATCCATCACAAAATCATGCCTGTTTTTAATGCAGTGCCGTCTGAGGGCCTCAAGATCAAAGGAATCCAATGTTGCATTTCGCCTTGTTCCTTGCGAATGGAGAGGAACATTTTAGATGCGGCTTTTCACAGATTGGTGAACCTCTGGCCATTTTTACTTCTGAGACACTCAGACTCCCTGAGATGCTCTCTTTATCCCCAACCATGTTACTGACCTGTTGCCAATTATTCTCATTGGTTGCAAAATGTTCTTCTATTGTAGCTCTTTATTGTTAATACAACTTACTTTGCCAGCTTTTTGTTGCCTGTCCCTTCTTTTTTGAGACCTCTAGCTGCCAATAATTTCAAAAAATTACCTCCCCCCCTCAAAACTGTACATTTTATTTTTTTGATATAGGTTTTATGTTTTTTATTGTGAATAAAATTTGGGCTTATACTTGCAAATCTTTGCATTCTGCTTTTTATATAGATTTTATACAGCATCCTAACTTTTTTGGAATTGGGGTTGTACTCCATGGGCTATAGGCTCGTACCTTCAGGTGATTGGACACTGGCAAGTCGTCCCCCCCGGGACACCTCCCCTAAAACCCTACCCTGCCCCATGTTTTTCCTTGAACAGTGTATGCGGTTTTCATTCGGTAAAGTCTATTCATTCAAAAATCAATGTTACAAGCAAACAATAAAACCCAATTCAATCAGTGCAACCTTAATATACCTACAAAAATCAACAGTAAATAGTTGGATCCAGGAGAGCGGGGTGGTGGTGAGCCACAATTTGTGACATATGTTTTAGCTGAAATTATCATATATCTTGTAAGTGTTTTTATCTGGGAGCTAATAAAAGAGAGCACTATGGTTCTGCTTTTATGTGTCCATAAATGTATGGCATATGAGAACAACAGTGGGAGGAATTGAGTTGCATGAAGTGGCGATCCACCATTTCAAGAAATTTGTTTGGCTGGATAGCAGCATGCGTAAAGCCAGGGAAAGAGCCTGCTTTTTCAATGCTGACAGAAAACTTAGTAAAGAGTTTGAGTAAAATTGGGCAAAAAGTACTTCCTCAAAGGAGACGACAAATTGCCTTTTGGACATACGGTGAAAGTTGTAAGGGAGATAAACCTTCCATGAGAAAGTCATCCAGATGGCATCTCACTTGAATGCCCTGAGTTCTGAAGAGGACAAACACAGGGTGCCTGGACCTTTGTGAAGCAGAGGATAGGCCAAATGGCAATTCAACAATCTGGAAGTGGTTGTTTGCCACTGCAAAGCATAGGAATTGCTGATAAGGTTGGTAAATGGGAATATGCAGATAGGTATGTAGGATATCCACAGATGCCATATGTTCCCTTTGTCTCAGAAAGACAATTACTGACCTTCCGGATTCATTAAAAAAATATGGAATTTGAAAGAATTTGAGAGATTTTAAATCCAGAATAGGACAAATACCCATTTGCATTTTGGTACCCTGAACAGGTTTGAGTAGAATACCTTTAACCTGTCCTGTGGAGGAACTGGTATAAAAATTCCCTGGGACAAGAGGTAGTTCAGAGCATTCTGATGAAGATGAAGCCTGGTTAGAGCACGCAGGAGCTCTGCGTTGAGAAGCTAGGGGCTCCTGAGGTGTGCAGCTTGGGAACTTTCCTATGAGAAAGTAAAACCTTCCCACATGTGAGCTCTCTGATGAGCTGGTCAAGTGCTTTACCAAAAAGGTGCATTCCATATGAATGGAGATTAGAGCCACACTGGATTTCTTATTTACAAGGTGTTTTCCAGGGCCTCTACACAAAAAAGAAGAGCAGAAGGCATGTGTTGTGATTGCTCTGTAACATCACAATCCTGTAAAATGGGTCATGTTGATTATTCAGTAACCAGTTAGCTGCAGTTTGACATAAAGAGCCGCAAGAGCTGGTTTCAGAGCTAGGCCTGCCAGGTTAAAGAGAGCTTTTAAGAGCAGCTCAAATTTTCTATCAGCAGAACCTTCGAAAGATAGAACATCTTCAATTAGTACATCAACATGCCTGTTTAAAACAGAGATGGCAGGATTAACCACAGAATATACCACTTTACTGCAATGGATAGAATTCAAAGATTTGTGGGGGAGTGAAAATCCTATCAGGCTCCCAAGGTTTTGACGAGGTTGCAACGATCCAGATACATTGCTTCTGTGTAGTCAATAGAAGACAATCCGGGTTGATTTAAGAATGATTTCATAGGAAAATAACAGATAAAATAAAACTAGTGAAACAGGTTTCTCAATAAAGGAAAAGGAGAGGTCTATCATCTTCAGACATTAGTGTAAAACAGAGGACTCATAGTGGGTTTTAGGGGAGAGATTCCCAAAAGCTTCCCAGGATGAATCACCTGAAGCTACAAGCCTATAACCCATAGTGTATGAATAAGTTGCCTGTGTCCTGTACTAGACAATTAGGATAAGTATTTAAGTTAAATTCTGTGATGCCAACCTTTCATGCATGGTTCATAAAGCATCCTCCTGTTATTGTCAATAGCAGCTTAAGAATTTCCAAGACCAGTGACACAAATGAAATTCTAACAACCTATAAACCTGCAGTAATCACACACAGAGATTTTAACAATGAGCAGGACCCAGAGGAAATCAGTGCTTTTTCAGTACAAACAACCTCAAGGTATTGCACTATTTTTTCAGAAATATGGCTGAGCCAAAAGAGAATATCTGTCAGGCATTTGTAATAAACACACTACCAATAAAATCTTGTCTTTTTTGTGCAGCCAGTCCATGAATTCCTTTGTGTTCCCCATAATATAAATTCCTACTGAGACACCAATTATTTGTCTACAGCTTTAACTTCGCCATCTGACTGTTTGAACTGTGGGGTTGATTTACTAAAACTGGAAAGTGCAAAATTTAGTGCAGCTCTGCATAGAAACCAATCAGCATCCAGATTTTTTTTTTCTTTTGTCAAAGGTTACTTGAACAAGGTGAAGTTAGAAGTTGACTGGCTACCATGCACACCTGCACCAGATTCTGAATGCACCAGTTTTAGTAAATCTACCTCTAAGTGAAATTGAACCAAATTGTTATCCAAGCAAAAAGGACAAACACAATACATAACCCCTAGAGTAAATATTATGCAGGAATAACCAAAATGCCTGCAGGTCCCCAGCAGCAACAGATCAGCCACCACACTGAATATCTACTTTAAAAAATGCTGAAGCTAGAAGTGAATTGGCTACCATGCACAGCTGCACAATATTTTGCACTCTCCATTTTGAGTAAAATCACCCCCTATGATTATGTGCTGTATAATTTCCACACCTAATATTGGTGCATGTAATATGACCAAGCTGAAGAAAAGCTTGCACTTCGAATGTGGAGATCAACCTCACTCTGCCCTTTCACCCTTAGCTGCCAGTGAGAGGGCTCCAATTGTTAGCATGAAATCAAAAGATCCAACTACATTCTAGGAATGCAATATTAAAGTGGTTCTAAAGGCTGAAGGTTTTTTTACCTTCAGGCATTCTATTCATGAAGGTAAAAACCCTTTAGTGTGCAGCTACTACCCCCCCCCCCCCCAATACTTATTTGAGATTGATCCCAATCCAGTGATGTGCACAAAAGCCTCTCCTGGGTCTTTGGCTCCTCATTGGCAGAGATACAGCTGCGGGAGCCATTGTCAATTATAGCCAGTGAGGAGGGAGCAGAGCCATGGCCACGCTCTGTGCACAGTGGCAGCTTGGGAGTGAGCATGCACGAATGCCACCAGAGCAAGCAGCTTGCTCTGGAGCACTCAGCAGACTGGAGGAGCCTAAAGCACTGGCAAGTGACTTAAGGAGAAGAGGATCGGGGCTGCTCTTTGCAAAACCATTGCACAGAGCAGATAAGTATAACATGTTTGTTATTTTAAAAAAATCTGAACCTTTAGAATCACTTTAAGAGTTAAACAAAGCATAAATGAAAATCTTTACACAAATACACTTTACACTCTTCTAATATAATTCCAAATTAGCTCATATGTGGTATCAAACAAAACAGCACAATCAGAGTAACAAATTAAGTTCCCAATTACCTTTCCTCTGAGTTGTATAACCTTGCCAGTCCAAAATCTGCCAGCTTGATCTGCCCACTGTAAAAAAAGAGCACAATGTGAGTTTTTGACCTATACACAGCAATTATCTGTGTGAGAAATCATCCCTTTCGGTTTGTCACCTGTTATTCAGCAGGATATTTGAACACTTGATGTCTCTGTGCAGGAAATTCTTCTTGTGACAGTAATCTAGTCCTTCCATAAGTTGTTTCATAAATGACTTTATGTGGTCTTCTGAAAACTGCACCAGCCCAGACTCCAAGAGGCCCATCAGGTCATGGTCCATGTATTCAAACACCAAGTAAAAGGCACCTAATACAGAGAAACAGTCAGTGTTACAATAGAACTCTTCAGCAGATAATGAAGAACAACAAGTGGATAGAGGTTATTCTGAGAAGTCACCTTTGTCTTTCTTAAAGTCCAGTGCGTCTTGCTTGTCAGTAACAATCTCCTTCATATTGACAACACTGCGATGGATGAGCTGGCGAAGGATTTTTATCTCCCGGATAGCAGTAATAGGGAATCCCTCTTTCTCGTTATCTAGCCGCACTTTCTTTAAGGCCACAAGTTCTCCTGGCAGATTATCAATGAAGATCAAGTTAGACTTTCCTGTCTTCCAGTCTGTTAACTACAGCAACTACTAATACCATTAACCAAAAGTGGCAGTGAAAAAGTGTTACATATACTCTTAAAATGGTCAACAATGCACAATAAACTAACTCTAGAATATTCCTATTCAGAACATGACTCATAAGGTTTTGATTTACACTACATCATATACATTAACTCCAGGGTGGATTTGATTTAAATCAAACTGATTGAAATCACAATTTAAATCACGATTTAAATCACTAGTCAGTAAGGCTTGATTTAAATCCTAGTTTTCTACATAAAGACTAATTCTTGCTGGTATAACTTTAATATGCAAGTAGATGAAGATTTTTAGAATAACAACTTTTCATATTCGTTTTTTTATCCCCAGTTTAATAGGTTAATCATTCATATTTGGACAACTTTTCTGTTGTACTTAGGAAGGAGAAAAATAATCATTACCTTAATAACAATTTAAATAGATGTATTCAACTGAAACAATAACATTCCAGCATATGTTATTTGCTTAAACAAACATCCATGTTTGGTAACTAATTTGGCTAAACAAAATATATATATTTTTAAGAAACTTAGACTGTCAGCCCCTTCCTCCTCACACTTAGTTTCACTTTCTTCTTGTGCAGATCTATTCCACTCCAAAACAATCAGAAAAATATTGTTTCTATTCTATTCACTGAACTTCTTGAAACTTAGCACTGAAGGGGTTGATTCTGTATTCATAGGTTTGTAGAAGTTAGGATGAAGGTCTTTTTCTTAACTCTGTTCATGTTATAACATTTTTGCTGTGAAGAAGAGGCATGTGATCTCCGCTGAGTCAAATTCAGTTTTGAGAACTGCAAAAGTAAACCAAGCATCTGTGATAATATTTGTAGGTAGAGAAACTGCCCAATAATCTTACAAAAACCTCTGGAAGAGCATGACATTGTGAATGGATTAATGGAATTTATTTACCAAAAAAATTAAACATATACAGCCGTATTCTACATAATTAAAAAACTAATATTTATTGCATGATGGAATAACCTTTGGATGGTAATATATTTTCCTCAAAAAGCATTTTATTTTAAAAAAATCCGATTTAAATTAAAAAAATCCGATTTTTTTTGATTTTTTTTAAAAAATTCATTGATTTTTATCCACCCTGATTAACTCACATGATTTTATTTATTTTGATGTAATTTAAGCTTCTGAACTAACAAATTAATTCTATTCTTTTTGAAGGGCTTTATTTTATTAAAAGAGCAGAGCTATGTGCACACTGAAAATGCAGAATATTGTGAAATGTGACTTGCCTGTGAATTCAATATCTTGGAGGACACAAGGCTTGTAGTCCATGAGCATGAGTTATATGTCGCTACCTTCAGGTGATTAGACACTGGAAAAAGCTTTCCTGGGAACATCGCCAGTGCACCCTCATATAACAAGTCATTCCATGCGACTCCAGTTTTGTAGCAAGCAATAAGAGGCAGTGTACAGTTGGGAGGGACCTGTCTCCTGTACTGTTCTCCAAGATATTAAATTCACTGGTAATTCAAAATTCCCATTATCTCAATTGTACAATACAGGACTTGTAGTCAGAGACCATAAAACATCCCCAATCAAACTGGGGGGTTGGCAACATAGCACACTGGCCTCCAGAAAACAAGGTCAACAGACCTGATACATTTAAATGACAGCTTAAAGGTCTGTGTTGATGGCGCTAACATCAGCAGAGGCCAGGGAGAACTGCCCAGTAAAACTTTGAGACTGTATGACTAGAGGACAAGGTGGTGGCCTTGCAGACCTGTAAAAGGGATGCTTGATACTAAGAACCAGAAGAAACAGATTTGGTGGAACAGACCTAAAAAGAGTGGGGTCCTTTTCTTAAGGACAAAAGCTCTGGAAATTAGTTGCCTGAGCCACCTAGGAATAGTGGAAGAGGAAAGCAGGATGTCCCTTCTTGGGACCTTCATAGAGGACAGAGAGGCTCTGATTTTCCGAAAGATGTGGTTGCAAGCTAAGTTGACCCTATCTGCTCTGACCATATCCAGTCAGTAGAGTGAAATCTCCTTTGAGCACTTTGGGGAAGGGAAGATAATATCCTCACTGAGGTGAGAGAAGAGATTCTTTGGAGAGAAAGGAGGGTCTGGGTCTCAGGACCAAGTTTTCTATGCAAGATAAGAAATGGTTGCCAAATCAGTTTAAAGAGCGGTCAATAAAGAACAAAAAGTACCAGATTCAGATCCTAGGGAGACACAGAAGGTCAAAGTGGGGAATTGACAGGAGCAACTCCCTGTGCAAAGGTCTGGACAAGCAAGGTTGGAGCCATAGGTTTATTAAACAGAATGGATAAGACAGAAACCTGTCCTTTTAGAGTACCAAGAGCCAGATGCTGGTCCAGGCCAGACTGCAGAAAGGCTAGGATGCAAGGGAAAGACTTTTCCTGCAGTTGAGATGCCAGTTTTTACACCAGCCAAATGAATGCCCGGTGATGGAAGATCCTACCAGAGGTAGCTTTTCTCTCCCACAGTAAGGTGGGAATGTCAGAAAGGTCCCATCTTTTAGGACTCAAGTTTCAACAGTGTTGCAGTGAAAGACAGCAACTGAAAAGCAGGTGGGGGGGCCTTCTGACAGAATGTCTGGCCTATTTAGAAGAGACCAAGGCTCATCTACCAGGAGTCTGTGTACCAAGTTCTCCTGGGCCAATTTTTAGGCAATGATGATAAACAGAATTAATTCTTACTTGAAGTTGCAGAGTAAGGAGGAATTGTCACTGGACAGAATGGATTCACCAGTCTGAATATAGACTAAGCAATCATAGGGTATCCACAGCGAGAGCTAGGGGATTCCTGGACCTGGCCACAAACTTTTTGTGTTTTTTTGTTTTTTCTACAAACCATGATGGATCAGGAAGATCTCTGGATAGAAAGCCCACGCCCTAGAATCTAGGCATTGGTGACTCAGGAAGTCCACTTGCCAATTTTCCACTACCAACATGTAGATGGCAGAGAGAGTGGCGTTTCTCCACCCAGGAAAGAATCGGACATGCTTTTTTCAGGGAAGCCACAGCCCTGGCTTTGTCCACCTGTAACCTGACTGGGTGACCATGTAAAAGAGAGGTCCAGTGTAGGAGAGTCCATCTCATTTCTCCCAATTACAGAATGTTGATGGAGAGCATCAACTCCAGGTTTCCTGGACAAGTCACTGAATTGTAGACCCCACTCAGCCTGTCAGGCTTGCGACCTCCAGGCATGTGTAAAGCATGCCTTTTACAAGCAAGGTCAATTGACCAAGCCTTTAACTACAAAATTCTGGGCATATGTAAAGTGAGCATTATCAATCTTGAAACCAATTTTTCCATCAGAACAAGTTTTTCAACAGGATCAGGCTCCCTATTAATTTGCCCGGTCCAGTTAGTGACAGTTTGACAAATGGACTTAGCCACAATGGACAGTTGTAAGCCAGGACCAGAGAGGACAAAGGTTGCCTTCAAAAGGATTTTTAAGCATCTATCAACAGAATCATTAAAAGAGGGAACATTTTCAACAAGAACAGTGAGATGTGTATTGAGAACAGAAATGGCAGGATCCACTATTGGGACAGACCGTTTTTTCATAAATTCCTTCTCTACTCAGCAAAGAGTTTGAGGAAAATATCTTTTCAGAATTTGGCTAATGCGAATTCAAAGCAAAATGAATTTAAGCATGCAAGGGAAAAGTCTTCACCAGCTATTTTGTGCCCATAGGAGCTTGCTTAGGCTGGGGAAATTCTGGTGCTACTAAGCACAAAGGCTAGCATACATTCATTAACAAGTGAGTTCACAGTAAAAAGAATGTGTCATGAAGCCTTCGTTTGTGTCTCAGAACACGCATAAGCCGAAATTTCTTCTGCAGGATCTTCTGCTGTGTCTGCCTCTTCATCCCCAATATTTTTTTTTCAAAGAGGTTAGGAGGCTCAGGATTATACTATTGAATAGATAAAGGTGGCAGAGGAACACGTTTGAGACCTGGAGACCAAAGAATCTATAAAGGCAGAAAGCTCCACAAAGCAAATTAGACATACGTGAAGTGAAATCTTGTCAGATAAACCATCTGTTGCAGGCCTGAGAGAGAGAGAGCTTGAATCAATATATGACCTTGCCCTGGTGCAGGGGAACAACTATTGCCTTGAGAATTTTGCTGGTTTTCTTCGGGGCTGTCCACCTCTTAGGTCCTTTTTTTTTTCCAGGCCCTGTGCACCTTGAATCCGCAAATACTAAGTGAGTGGATCCCCAGGGGGATACTCACAAAATTGTTGTGAATCTAGAGAGTATTTCCATGTCCAGGAAGGGAGCCACAAAAACCCAGGTGGTGACTGACATCCTGCTGCTGTGTCTCTTTAAGATAGGTGCTCCTTGTGTTTTCAGTGTAAATGGCAGGAAAATTAGCATCAGCCAGAAAGCATACTGCAACAACATCAGCAACCAAGCAGCAACACCAAGTGGGAAGCCCACCAAATTTATAAAGCTGAATGTCAAAAAAGCGTTACCTGACCCCCACATAGTAGAGGCTTTAACAGAGGAGGATAACACACCAAATGAAAAACGCCCTGCATGTAAAAAAAAAAAAATGGATAGTCTGAAATAAAGGAGAACCCCCCTTATCGCTTATCTTAACCAAACTGCAGGATCCTGGAGAGAACCAAACTTCACCCATCAAAGTGAGCATACTCCAAAAGGGGTCCTTAGGGTCTGGGTGCCAAAGGAATGTACCATAGACCTGGACCTGTACAGCACCCTGTAGCTAACTACCTTTTTTGCACAATGTGCCCTGGTGTGCGCCAGCTGCTGTGAAGTCTGGATATGGTTTGAGTGTAACCAATCCATAAACTGATCGTGTGCCCTGAGGCAATAATCAGTTCAATCTTGTTAGAAGTGTCAGTTGAAGTAATGAAAAAACAAAAGTAACTTCTCCGTAAAAGTCATCCATCACCTAAAGACACTA